TATATATATTATTTTATTTTATAATTTTACTTTCTATACAATCAAATAAAAAAATATTTTTCTCTTTTATATTTTTTGTCCTATAAATAACCTATTAATGTTTCCCCTCTCTTCTCCATCTAACCTTTGTGCTCTCTTTTTCCGTTATTAGATTTATTTGGATAAAAAAAAAAATTTTTAAGAAGAAACTAGTATTCCAAAAAATTTATAAATTAAATTATGCATAAGTTAATTATAGCTTTAAAAAAACTTATTTTTTATTTTTTTATTTTTTAAAAGAATTATTCAAAAAAAATATTTTTTTCAAATTCACCTTGATATATTAAGTTCAAACATTTGTTCTCAAACCGTATTTTTTTTTAGTTATTTTTGTTCAATAAGAATTTTTTCTGAAACATACATACCATAACCTTTTATTTTTAACTTTAACAATATATCCTTTTAATTTACTAATAAAAAATATACATCATTTTCAATTTTAAATTGAATTTAATAATATTTTAAATAAAATGTATACAATAATTTTCTTTATAAATTAGAATAATTATTTTATATAGAATAATTCTCTTGAATATATTGTTCAATAATTTAATTATTTTCTTTAAAGATTACATTTTCAGAATTTTTTTATCTCTTTTAATTTATCACTCTCAGCTTTATTTCTAAATTAAATTTTAATATTTAATAAAAATATCAATAGTTAAAAATAATTTTATATCACAAAATAAATTATTTATTATAAAATTAAAATATAACTAATATGATAAAATATTTGTTTATTATAAATATTAATTATAATATAATATAATTTTTATATGTAAATAATATTATTTATTATAACTTTTTATTATATAAAACAAAAAGTAATCATATACATTGCACATGCTAAAAAATATTAGTAACATATTATTCTTTCTTCTCTTTTTCTATTTTTCCTCTTTGCTTTCTCTTACCATTCTTATTAGGTGTGTTAACGTAGTACATATTGTGTCACTTTAAAAAATTTGTGTTTTAGTTTCAAATTCAAAATTTCACAAATAAGTAATAACAATCAAAATTTTGAAATCATATTTTGGTTTTGATAAAGAGATATAACTCCTTTCTATTGGATCATCTCTTATAAGAGTAAAATAATATCTTCCATCACAACTATATGCTTGAAGTGGAGACCAAACCTCAACATGACCAATGTGAGAATCAAACCTTAATCATTATTTAAGAAACACAAATGTTAAATTACTTAAACTAATAACTTTTGATTTTATTATTATAGATGAAGTATTATGATTTATTCAATTATTCATATATTTTTTTATCATTTATATTATTATTTATTAATGTAAGTTAAATATACTCAAATATTAAATTTATATTCTTGTATGACAATATCATCTATGAATTTTGAGACAAAATTAAGCTTAATTTTCATTTTTTAAAATAATTTAAATTTTTATTTTTCATTGAATATACCAGGAATCAAACCAAATCGACCTACTCAACATCAAGTTGATTTGATTTATGTCAAACAAAAATTCTAAATCCAAATCCAAACAGAATCAATTAAAATTAATTAATTTAAATTTTATTTTTTCTCAAATCTAAACCATCTCGATTGATGAACACTCCTAACTTTTATTTTCTCATCGCTGTCTCTCTAGTCATCTATTTTTAACTTAAACGAAATATCATGACATCCATTTTAAATTTAAAACTGTTATTCTAAACTTTAATTTAAAAATAACTTTAAAGTTAAAAAATGAATTAACCATAAGCCTAACGTTATATAGTGTTGTGATTGTGATTATTACCAACACTAAATAAATCCACAAAGTATTTGAATTGATTGATAATGTAAATACTTTATCCAAACAAAATATAAAAGAAAAAATTAGCCAAATAGACCAGGAAATAATGATGACAAATAATGAAAGAGGCAATAAAAAAAACAATGAATAAAAGTTTAATGAGAGAATCAGAAAATTTGCGTAAAATTAAACTGGAAGCGACAAATGGTTAAAAGAATTATCACCCAAATGAGGGGTCGAATTCAGTGTAATTTTAAGATGAAATTATACACTTAACCGAGTATCGAATTATTAATCATATATACAAGGATGAGCACATATATACAAGAGCCCAAGACTATACAATCTTCTTCCAGCATTAATCGATTTCAATATAAAAAATGCAGCTGTATGGTCCATGCCATTAGGAAGGACCGTGAAGAAAAGAAGAAATACGAATTATAATGCCTCCATGGCAAACCTTGGAACCTATCATGCAAGAGATATCCCTTGCCAATTCAATCAACGTTAACAGGATTTTCCTGATTGTCAATCTCTCTACTCAATTTGATGATAGGGGTTGCAGGATCTCTGGACAAGATTAAGTTTCCCCTTGAATCTTTGATGCTAGTTTTCTGAACATGAGAATCCATAACAATTCTGCATGAACTTGGCTCATCTGATCCCATGTCAACGCCATAATAGGCCAAGTGATCTACAATGCTATTCCCACTCACCGACCTGAATAAGATCACCAAATCAAATTTCAGCAGCATTCCATCATAACACACCAAATTTCAGGATCTCCTAAATTTTATTCACGCCCATGAAGTGGCAAACCTTTTCCTGACCTATACATTTTCAGAGGCATTATGACAGAACAGAGACTAACCTGCTGCAAGTTGGATCCTCGCCAGATCCATCACAAATCTTCTCAACGCTGTACACAAGACTACCTAATCCAATGTTATAAAGCCATACCTGCAGTCCACAACTTGTTAGGTTTTTGAACAATGGGAAAACTAATGAAACAAGTGCTGCAGCTGCAGGTTTGCATATTCCTCGCTATAAACTAACCAGGAGCCATAGATCATGGCAGCAGAATGGTCAACACTAAAGTTATTGTGTTGTCCAAGCAACAAACAAGCAGATAGATACGGCTCAAAATAGATGTGTTTAATTAACAGCTTGGAAACAGGAACCTCAATCGCATCAGTGGACACGCAGGGTAGAGATGGCATCTCAAATCAAGTCACGCCAAAAACGACACACAGGTACCAAACCATAATTGTCCCAAGTCCCAACAAATTAGCACACAAACATTATTCCTAAAGTTTTCAAAACTACCAGAAGTGATGAAGAGGGTGATTTTAGTAACAAATAAACAGAGAATTTGAATGTGTTGGGAAAATATGGCTGCAATGATGGAGATGAGAGTTATTATGAATACAGAGAAGCAGAGTTGTCATTTGTAATACAACTGGAAGCGATTTAATATATTAATACAAATATGCAAAAAATATTTCTAATATTCACAAAACTATCCAATTGCAACCAAAGTAGAGACAGCAGATGACATATAACTTTCCACAAACAAACAGATAAACTTAGTTTGAAGATAATATAACAGATTTGATATACAAATTTCATCAGTTCATCAGGCAGTGCCTTACCTCTCTCGGGAAGTGGTGGTATGTCTTCTGTGGCAAATAATAATAATATGGAGGCAAATGAGGTACAATATCATGGTCATTTGTGACTCGGATTGTATTTGGAACTAGTTTGCTATAGAGAGATGCAAAAGCAGCATTTCCCACACGAGGTTGTCCAAATGTCATAACTTGAACATTTTTTTCATTTTGATTTACCTGTAAGAATGCAAAATCAAACAATTAACTATTTCGTCATCATAAAATACGGAAACCCTGAAAAGACCAAATGAGAACTTAAATAGTGATCTTTTAAGAAAAATAATAACACAATTTTGCACTTTACATTTTGGATACTATTCTAAACAGGTTTCTGGAGTTTTAAAAATAAAAATAATAATAATAATAATATTATTATTATTATTATTATTATTATTTATTCAATAGCTGACTTGGTTCAATTTCAGCTTTAACATTGAATTTATAACCTATCTGATATGCACCAGTTCCAAAATACACAATCCAGATTTAACCGGAATAACCCATGACAAACCCATTATATGTTTAGTTTACTAGTCCCACATTTTGGTTCATTACTTCTTTTCTTTTATAAACCATTTTGGTTCATTATTTGATTAACATGTTTATAGAAACATATCTACAAATAAGTAATTCAGAACTAACATAAAACAACTATGCACTGAACTGCAACCTGTTTATAAAATTCCACAACACAAATAACACAAAAATATAGAGAAAACATAAAAACAATTGAATGCTTATCAAAAAGAGTTAAAAACTATGTATAAATGTGGTTAACTTCCTACCAATGGGGAATATCCTAAAATCGTGACAAGAACCAGAAGGTATCCATCAATCACTGGAATGATAAAAGAAAATAAATTCTATAGCTAGCAAGTAAAGTTCCCATGATATAGAATTTAAAAATCAACAACCATGACAACAACAAACAACCTTGTCTCACTAAATGATTATAATGTCATTTAGCTCTATCAAAACACCAAATTTTTAGAAAAGTCAGTCTTACAGTAAAGCCTTTGGTTTCTCCTGAAGATTTTAGGCTTTTAACCCCTCATACTCAACTATCATCCATGATCTCCTTTTATAAATTATAACTAGAGCTCCTGCTGGTCTTCTCACATGACCAAACTAGGACTTAGGAATGTTTCTGTCATTTTCTCCTCAAAAGGTGCTCTCCAACACCACTAATCCAAAACATAAATGTTTGACCAGTTTCTAAATTAGCCACCGATTGAGTAATATTACCCTTCACTTTTACCCAAACCTAGCAACAGCTATATAAATTTATAATATTAAAAATAAAATGCTTACCAAATTATGATACTTCCACAAGAAATTCAAAGCCACTGCTTGAGGTAAAATATAGAAATACTAATGCAAAAATATCAAAGGGAACATGAGAACCTAAAACCTTGTTGTATAATACCCAGTCATGACAAGACAGCTAAATTATAATTACCGTTAAATCAAGTCCACAAAATGAAGCCATTGCCCCTCCCATTGAATGCCCTATTGATATAATTTGAATATCTCCATAAAACTTTTTTGCTCTTTCAACAGCATCTAAAACTGCAGGACGTATTGTTGTATTGTGGTATGCCATATAAAAACCACGATGTACCTGGAGACAATGATAATAATATATCAGAGCTAACACCAATACAGAGCATAACCTAAGGCTAAACTCTTACACACCATTGCATCATCCATGCCTGGATAATTTATCTCATGCTGCTTCCAATATAAATCTTCAATCCAATTCTGTAAGCTGTATAAGTTGTTACAAAAAAATCAGCTCAGCATATAACTTAAGTTGTCTCAAAGGTGAGCCAAACATCTGACAGACTTGAATTGTTTTCCTTCTTTACATGTATATGGACGTTATATTTTCTTTATAGGACATTTATTGGCTCTCTCAAAGGTCAACAACATAAGGGAACTTGTGTTCTCCTAAGGGAACTTGAATTGTTCTCAAACATGGTTGGCCAAACATTTTTTTTAAAATATAGATATTTATGCTCTGACTTTCTCAAATATTGGTATATGAGAACATTCACAACAATTTATAATGTACAAGATCTCAAACATGATTGGACATATGGATAGCCATCTACAGTATTTTAAAATTTAAGAATGTTGCTGATCAATTTAGAGTCAAAAAATGGCATGCCCAGTGCACATAAATATGAAAACAAGACATATTACTTATCCACATATGCTATAAATCTTCAAGACACCATTGTGACAATAATGCATTGCATGCACAGCAAATCAAGTTAAATGCATTTTCTTAGCTTACAATTACATACACATGCATATGAGCATCATACAAAATTAACATGCATGAGCAAAACAGTCTTGCTTCTAAAACATAAGAGCATCTGTATCTAGGCATCACATACAGCACGACACTCTAATAGATCCATTTTGAAGGTGCCAATACAGTTAATGGGCCCAAAACACCAAAAAAAAAGCATATTTAACCCAGAAAGAAAATTCACCTGTGTTCATTTGTCCCTCTGAATGCAATGATAATGGCATGTGGATCATCAGCCACTCCAACAAATGCCTACAATAAATATTGTTTAGGGTTGCAATTATATAAAACAAAATACATTAATCCAAAACATTAAAATAAATATTGTTTCTATAATGAGAGTTTACCCACCTGTAAGCAATGCTCAACGTCAACAACTAACTCTATAATATCAAATCCCTGTTTCCATTTTAAATATCTTTAGATCGAGTATTTTAAAAGGAGACAAATTAGTAGGACAGTAGAACGTAAATAATTCAAAGCTCACTCATGACATAAGTGAACTTGTAAAGTTAAAATCAATATTCACGTTTTCAGCACCTTGGTCAAGCCATCACACCTAGAGCACGTCCAAGTAAAAAGTTCTGTTAAATCTGACAAGTATACCTGCAAGAACCAAACCTAAATTAGTCCTTTATATAGTTCATACAGATTTCCCACACATTCCCCTAAACAAACAGGAGCTTGGCTAATGCACGTAATGCAACTTTAGATTCACTGCATCAGGCAAGTGAAATTAGCTAAACTATTAAGTTGTTATGATATACTTCAATAAATCCCACTTTGACTAATTTTGACCATAGCTCGACCAAGATGGAGTCTGTCTCTCCATCAGGTTCGACACATGAGAAAGGTACTCAATTCTTTAAACAGTTTAGTTCTGCAAAGCAGATATAAATTCATTGAGTTTACAAAAAAGAAAATATGGTTTCTGTAAAGCCATCTCTAATACGTATTTGGGAATTCTTATAAACAATGAAAAACCCAAATCAGACTTATAATTAAAGCTATAATATCAAACCCACTTAAAAGAGAGAGGAAGAAGGACAGTTAAAACTCTAAAGTTTCATTACAATTCCATATTCATGACTTACCATCCATGATAAGATTAGAAAACAAATAATACACACAAAAAAATTTAAATCCTCTGCCTAAACATCTTAACGGTTGAGCACATAAAATTCCCAAAGAACTCACCGCAGAAGCATATTGCACTAATATTGTAGCAAGTGTATGATTGTATTGGTAGTGATTCTTTTTATGCCTAACATGGAGTTCTGCATGAAAAAGGCATAATTGTTATACAAATGTGAATGATCCACAAGCCTATGATTCAGAATATAATTTTTTCACATCTCATGACTCCGTATTTGCTCATATATGCAATAGACATATCAGCATATATGAACCATTCATTAACTTTTTCAATAACAGAAAAAATAAGATCCTGTTGATTGTATTTGTAGCATGCATCACAGATCACTGCATCAGATAATGCTTCCAAATATGCATTACCTACACCAGTGCAAATAAAAGGGTATACCTTTGGGTGGCACACAATATGAGCCACTCACATATCATACTCCCTCTGATTCTTATTATAAGGCACTTTTAACTAAATCACGCGTATCAATATAAGTAGTTATGTTAATTGAATTTATTGGGTTTATAAAATAAAATCATGATACCAATTTTACTCTTCCTAAGTTCCTATCATTAAATTTTCATAGGAGAGGTGAAGATATTACTTTATATCAAAGCTTATGTATCAATACTAATAAAATTGATAAATGACAATTGGAGAGTATAAGAGGGAAGAAAGATGCTATGAATATTCAATGCTTGTTGTCCATTATTACTGCTTATAATTCACCTTAATATTATTACCTTATTTTGTAACCATTTATGCCTATAAATAAGCTATCTCGTTGTTGAAAATATTACAAGAAACTTTCTATTCTCTCCCTCATGTTGTTCTATCTATCCTTTCTCTCTGATGCTTCTATATTACAATTTATAGTTTTATGTTGATTTTCATAACAAAAGAGAATATTTATTTCCCAAATTCTCTTTTCATTATCCAACAACAAAAAATACATATTCTCACAATATTTAACAGGGGAAAAAGATGGAAAATAAAATTAATGCTTTATAGAAATTGTAAAGTGCCTTACATAAAATAAAAGACCACTATTTCAGTTTAAATTGTGCCTTATAATAAGGAGGGAGAACCTTTTAATTTGGGTATTCTTCTATAGAATTAGATACAGATAAATTCATGGATGCAGATAAATTCATCACCCAAAACTTTCAGGTCCCGGAAAAAGAGAGCAACTGTACAGAAGAGAAATAACACGATGCCTAACCTAGGTTAACAGATAAATGAACTTCCTGGAGGTATCTGCCCCACCAAGCTCATTTTCTCATCATTTTTCCAAAACATTAACCCAACAACAGCCAAGAAACTAATTTAAAAAGCAAATCAATACAAGGCCACGTAAGCAAACATATAGTCTTCCATCCCTATATCCCTATTGGCTTCAATTCCTTCTCGAACTCTTCCAAGAGGAAACCCTAATCACCTGCCTCTGAGTCCCTATTTCCTCGGTAACGAATAAAAGCTTCATTTCACCAACCAAACAAAATTAACAAAATCCAAGGATCCTTATAGCAGAGTGACACGAAAGAAACAATATCGTAAACCCTAGAAGGCTATAATAACATTAACACAGGCTATAATAACATTAACACAGGCTATAATAACATTAAGACGCAAGTTCAAGTCGTACCTCGGCCATCAGAAAAGGCAAGCAAGCATAAACAGATAACCAATATCAACCACCTAGACTTCCCCATATACTCTGCAATTGAAGTAGAGAAAGCAAAGGAACAAAAAGTCAAATAGCTACAATTAAACAGAACAATGAGTTGGTGCTCGTCGAATTGGGGAAAAATAAAAAGGTAAGATTAAGGGGAAATAAAATAGTTGAATACATGCGTGAAAGAAGCACGGTGGAACGGGAATCGGAGTGGTGAGAGGATTGGGTCCAGCGAAAGAGATGAAGGAGAAGTCAAAGAGTCATAACAATAATTTGGGGTTGGAGAGACGAAGAAGGAAGAAGTAGCATATACGACGTCGCAGGGGTTCATTTCGTCATTTTCGTGCCGTTTTGGAACACTCTGGCGTCTGGCCAAGTTGTTATTATTTGCCACGCTAGATGACCTTCGATTCGATCCAACAATAACATACATGGAAGTGTGTGTGACGTGCATTCCTGTTGCCTCGTTTCTTTTATTTTTTATCTTTTACGTCAACACCCATATATAAAAATAAATACTTTTTTATGATTATTTTTTATTTTCACTTTCAATTAGACTATTAAATTCCTTCAATTACTTAAAAAAAAAAAACTTTAAATTAAGAATTTTTTATGTATTTTTCACATACTAAATTATCTTTTTACATTTTTTGATAATTATTTATTTTATCATTTCTTTTCTTATTTTTTAAATTTTTTTAAAAATTTCATTAAATCATTAACCTCTTCATACTCTTTCACAACTACTTACTACACACTTCATTTTTATAAAAGAAAATTATGAATAGTTAAAGAAACACAAAATATTTTTTCTCTTACTAATTTTAAACTAACGTGATTACATACCAAAAAACATTAGAAAATATGAAAGAAAAAAAACTAACATGATTGTCAAAGGGAGAAAATTTACCAACATTTTTTTTTAATGTGTTGTTCATAATATTCTCAATTCTAGATGTTGATAATATATATATATATATATATATTATATATATATATATAAGAAATTCATTTACTCAAGGAATAAGCTTACATAAACTTATTCCGTTTAATAACATATATCTTTTAATAAATTTTAACGATCTAATTATTGAATTTAAAATATTTAATGCAAAGATCAAAGCTGTAAATTTAAAAAAAAAATTAAAAATTATTTAATATTTCATTGTATTAATTCAATTAATGTATAAAATAATTTTATGACTATTTATTAATTTGAATTAATGAAATGAAATATCAAATGATTTTCAATTTTTTTTTAAATCTACAGATTTGATTTATGCAATAAAAACTTTAAATTTAATGATTAGATCGTTAAAACTTGATGTAAAACATAAGTTATTGAACAGAGTAAATCTAGATAAACTTACTCATGGAATAAATAGATCATTCCTCTCTCTAAACACACACACACACATATTACTCAAATTAAACTTGATTTAAAAATCGTACTAATCACATTGAAAATGTAGCTAAACCTTATTTTTATTAAAACTAGTGAGAGCACTTCATATCCTAATTTAACTATCACGTCAATAAAATAGTATGAACAAGACTTTTGTAATTTTTATAACTTCCATTTAATATTCCATTTAATAGTTTATTATTTTTATTTAAAAAGTTAAAATTTTCTCGAATATATATATATATATATATATATATATATATATATATATATATATATATATATATATATGAAAATAAACACTCCTATTTATACATAGATAACCAAATACTAATTTTATTTTATGATATTAAAAAAAAAATTTCTTCTCAATCAAATAAAAAAAAACATTTATCATCATTATTTTCACAATTGAAAATTTTTTTACACATTAATACTCGCTATGCATCATTGTATCCCTTATTTATTAATTACAAATAAAATTTGTTTTAATTCTTAAAAAAAAAATTCTATCTAGTTCTTATTTGTTTTGATAGATAAAATTTTAAAATATTTATGATGGTTAGTATCTTATATTTGAATAATTTTCTTTTAATCTGATCATATGTTACTTAATATCATAATTTTTTTTGCTAAAAATAACATTAACAAATTTATCCTTATTTTTTCCTTTGAGGAATTTTTTCTTGTTTGGGTGAAGGGAGAGACTTGCACTTTTTGGGATTTTCTTCTGAGCATTTTTATGACAGTTGGAATTTACAAAGAACAATTTGTTTTGAGGATTTGAGATTGATGGGATTTTAGGAAATTAAATTGATCCTTGCTTGTGTGAACCAAATCCTGTGCATGCGAGCCAGGGTCCTTTTAGTTTTTCAATTTGTATTCATTTAAATTTAACTGCACATTTCTCCTACACTGGCACTTTTTTTTTCTTCCCGTATTTGAAGTTGTAAAATTGATCAACAGATTAAGTGCAGTTATAAAGACTTAAAAACAAGTGAGATTAGTTGTTCATTTAAATTATTTATATTGTAACACCAAGATTAAGACAGCATAGAAGAAATAACTCATTATGGATCTCAATTGCGAAAAAGAGTTGGCACTCTTATAGGATTGTTAGGAATCTTGTTTAGATGTTCATGTTTGTAATTGGTTTTATTTTTTTTTTTGTAAATTTCACTTTGCAGTTTCTTGTTTAACATAAAAAAGAATATAAACAGACAGCTGCACTTAAGAAGTGTAAAATTCACCTTTTAATAAGAAAAGATTATTCAAATGACTATAAAGTGGGCTAAATGTTTAATAAATGAGCAAAAATTATATTTAAAAAATATACAAACAAAACTTGAATATATTATATTTAAAATTTGTATAAATAGATATTTTTAACATATAAAATATATTTGAAATTTATGATATAAAATAATTTATAATTATGATAATTTATTTAAAATATTAAAATTGAATTAAATAAAAATTTAAAACAATCCATAAAATGTGTGGACTAAAGATAGTTTAGATAAGAATGAATTAAAGATAAAATAAGAAAAAAAATTTAATGAGCCTTTTATAGGAGTTACGGATAGAATGATAGATAGTAAAAAGAAAGAAAAACAGATTTGATCCATAATTATCCATGATCTAAAACTGAAATTGTTTTGATGGAAAAAAAGGTGAATATGACAAGGATTGATTCCAGTGTTACGTTTTTCTGTTACAGATAGCTGTATATATACATATACATTAGCCACTGAGTATTGATGCAGTTGATACATTCCAATTTCGAAAACCCCTTTCTGTCTTGATTCTGATGGAGATTGATCTCACTCCCCAGTTGCCGAAGGAGCTTTACGGAGGGAATGGTGGGTCCTACCACGCATGGTCCCCCTCTCAGCTTCCCATGCTTGGCCAAGGTAACATTGGTGCCTCCAAGCTCGCTCTTCACACAAACGGATTCGCACTTCCTCGTTATTCTGACTCTTCCAAAGTCGCTTATGTTCTCCAAGGTAGTATATGAAATCGTATATGTGGTGTAACATACCAGAAATTGATATATAAAATTGTACCTTAAACATGTCATGTGAGATACTATGTATTCACCCAAGAAAATTATACTCATTATTTTAAGTGATTCTGTATTATGAAGTTATGTTGTTGTATTGATTATTTGTGAACTTGTGTTCTTGAATCAGGAAGTGGAGTGGCTGGAATAGTGCTGCCTGAGTCAGAAGAGAAGGTTGTTGCGATCAAGAAGGGTGATGCCTTGGCACTCCCCTTTGGTGTTGTGACATGGTGGTATAACCAGGAAGACACTGAGTTGGTTGTTCTGTTCCTTGGAGACACTTCCAAGGCTCACAAGGCTGGTGAATTCACTGACTTTTTTCTGACTGGATCCAATGGAATCTTCACGGGCTTTTCAACCGAGTTTGTGGGCAGGGCTTGGGACTTGGAAGAGGGTGATGTGAAGACCCTTGTTGGAAAACAATCTGGCCAGGGCATTGTGCAGCTGGAAGGAAACATAAGCCTTCCGGAGCCTAAACAGGAGCACCGGGATGGCATGGCCTTGAACTGTGAAGAGGCTCCATTGGATGTTGACATCAAGGGTGGTGGAAGGGTTGTGGTGTTGAACACCAAGAATCTTCCCTTGGTTGGTGAGGTTGGACTAGGGGCTGATCTTGTGAGGTTGGATGGAAGTGCCATGTGTTCTCCAGGATTCTCTTGTGATTCTGCTCTGCAGGTTACTTATATTGTCAGGGGTAGTGGCAGGGTTCAGGTTGTTGGTGTTGATGGCCGTAGGGTTTTGGAGACAACCATAAAAGCTGGTAATTTGTTCATTGTGCCAAGGTTCTTTGTGGTCTCAAAGATTGCTGATCCTGAGGGAATGGAGTGGTTCTCTATCATCACCACCCCTAAGTAAGTCTTTCTGGTATTACTTCTTTACCTTATTGTCAGTACATGTTATTTGTGGTTGTTATACATTTCATTGCAGAAGTAATCATCCATTTGATATTCTCTTTCTTGCTTACATAACCATATTATTTGTGTGTCTACCTTCTCCAATGTTTAGGAACCTTACCCTCTTGCGATTGATTTATGCTAGTCCTAAGAGTTTCTGACCAACGATTGGCGTATAGAACCCATCATAATTCATAAATGAAAACATACCTGATCCTAATACTTGCGAGGAATGTTTATATTGGTTGGAAAATGAAAAGTCAATTAGTGAACAACTATTCTATATTATTGCATGCATATTGTAACAATTGATTGATATATTTGATTGTTAAAGGCACGCTAGCCTCATCCATAAAGGGGTGAGGTTTATTTTTATCCATCAGAGTCAACCTCAGTGATGAAGAGACACACAATCTGGTCAACCAACTGAATTAGATATTCTTGAAATTGATATCACATCTTAATTAGTTTCATGTATGGTATAACATGCAATGGTGGTTTTACTAATCCTTATGATTCATTCTTACTTTTGGCAGTCCTATATTTACCCACTTGGCTGGAAGTTCCTCTGTGTGGAAGGCTTTATCACCCACGGTTCTACAGGCTGCTTTCAATGTAGATTCAGGAGTTGAGCAACTCTTCCGTTCAAAGAGGACTAACGATGCTGTTTTCTTCCCTCCACCAAAATAGAATAAACATTCCATTGCTTGGTGTAAAGATTCCCCATCCCCATTCTGTCTTATCGATCTAGACGGAAAATAAAAGGGCTTTATATGCTCTAAGAACTCGTTATCTGGAAGGGGAAATGTGTTGAGGAATTAGTGGAATTACTTTACAGTTTTAAAATATATGTATGCTTGGTTTATCTTATCGAAATAGTAGCAAATATATTTTAATCAAACTTTAACTGCTTTTCTGTTTTTTCCTTTTCTACTCTTTTGGGTGGAATTTCCAAGTCTACATTCAATTAGCTAATCTCGAAAACTAATTTTTACATGGCTATGCCGAAGGAAGCA